TATAATTATTGTTCTAGCAAAGGGATTGCACAGTTGTATTATGTATTTATTTTTTTGACCACACTTATGGAGCATTGTTTTATTATCACTGTTCTACCAAAGTGATTTTTTTATTTTTTTGAAAGGAATGCTCACGTTCATATTGATGTATTTTAATAAATGTTAACTTGGCCCATTACGTGACTATTGCTGTTGTGGGGGGCTCGACTTATTTTTTTCTCCAAGGGGGGGGCCGGACAGAAAAAGTTTGAGAACCACTGAGTTATAGGAATAAGTCCCCCCAAAACTGATCTATACTACCCAGTCTATAATGGTGTACTGTATTTCTAACAAAGCTTGAATTCCTTTAAAAAGTAGATGTTCCAATACCTTGCTATACACTGAATACATCCTTTCCCACTTATGTGAAGCAATACAAGCAGTGAAACCCCCCCCTCCCAATGTCTCTCACCAGGCAGGTTGTTGATGTATCCTCCGTCCATGAGTAAGTGTCCATCTTTGGGGTCACAGAGCGGCGGCAGGTAACCAGACAGGGACATACTAGCCCGGACGTATCGCCACAGAGAACCTGAAGATAGAGACAAAACCTCAAAATGTTGAATAATAGAAAAAAAAACAATAGTAGAAATAGATAGCTGACTGTAAGCAGTTTTAAAACATACTTTACATCACATATCCAAGAAATGAAGCACCATAGGGATGTTTTTTTTCATTAGTACTCTGTTTTGCTAGACCTGTTTTTCCACCCTTTAAGTGGAGTAAAAACATGTTTTTAGGGGGGATTCCATAAATTAAATATATTCACATTTGGTACATTGGTGGAAGGACTACTCAGAGTTCTTGCTTGCTCTTCTAAAAGTGGTAACTTGAAAGGGTTAGGGTTACAAGCTTAGCTCCTGCATTCTACATCTTACTTTAGTAAATTACAAAAATATTGGCATCAAAATATGCTAAAGTACCAAAAGTAAAATGACTTATTAAGGGCAATTGTTCACTTCAGAATCACATGTTAATACATTACTTGATTATTATTGTTATGAAATGTGGAGCTACTATAGTTTTTTTGTAATTTGCTGCTTGATATCTTAACCTATAATTAAATGTCAATGTTTGTTTATTAGTTTATTTATATTTTGTATTAGCTGATAATCTAAATCTGTAAAGTAACTTGCAACTAAGTCCATCAAATATATTTAGTGAAGTAAAAAGTGCAACATTGCCTTCAAAATGTACTGCAGTAGAAGTAGTGTAACATTAAAATACTCAGGTAAATTAAATATACTTCATAACATTTCACCACTAACTTTGCAATTTTCTAAATTAAGAAACTGGTTTTTTAAATGAATGTATCAGAAGATTTAGATGAAAAAGAGCCAGAAGGCGCTCAGACCGTCAGTGTGCGCCCTCATGCAGGACGCTGTGATGTCAGTGGTGATGTTGAAGTAGGGCAGCCACAGGTCCTGGCAGAGGGAAGGTGGTAAAGCAGACACAATTATATTTCATAAAGTATCTGCTCTCATGAGTTATTAATGTTGCTTTGTCACAATTATACCATATGCATAATGTTAAATAAAAAACGATAATAATCCTCATAGCAGAGCCGGTAAAAGTAGCTCAAGGGATTTGGAACAATACCAATGATCTCTTAAATTTGGCTAAATCTGCCCAACTGCTTACGTCTTTTTCTTTGTCATTTTAAATACTTTAAAAGAAAACCATCGCCGTACCTCTATCTGTTTGCCCTTGAAGACGGAGTTGATGCTGGAGTTAAAGGACGCTCCAGAAAACATGGATGTAACAGGGTATGTCAGATCCCAAATCTTCTTAAAGAAGGAGTTCATATCCTGTGAAACAGAGGAAGTTATTAAGGGATGTGAAGAAAAAAGTGAAGTAAACTTCTAGACTCAGCTTTCCTCTGAAAGAATGATGACTTAAAAATAGTAATAACAAACGTTAAACTAGTGTCAAGAATACCTCGTAAATATCAGAGCGGCGTCATAATAAATAGACCAAGCTCTGGATGAAAATGCATTTTTTTTATAACAAAAATCTAAATCTAAGTAACATTCGGCTTTTCCATTTAATTAAAAGTGCATTTGTATCTTGTGTATAACGTCCACATACCATGGCCCACTCCCGAGCCCGGACCCTCATGCGGCTGTTGCTCTTCTCCTCAGCATACAGCGCTCCCATTAAGGAACCGATGGAGGTGCCCCCTACCATGTCCACAGGGATCCCCGCCTCATTCAGAGCCCGCAGGATACCCACCTGAGAGCAGCCCCTGCAGAGAGACAGGCCTCATGACATCACAGGGTATCTGGGATATCACATACTGCTGAAGATTCTGACACACGTGCACAAGTGCAATGTAACCTGATTGTTACCCCCCCTTCAGAACTCCCTCCCCAGTTACGTCGAAAAGGCCAACACTGCAGTTAACGCATTATTATCCCAACTATACAACAACAATAACAACAACTACTACTACTACTACTACTAGTACTACTCAGCCTACATCCAGCTACAGAAACCAACCATTACATTATTCAGCTATTTCAGGACATTGAGGCTATATAGGTTGTTGTTTATACCTTTTTTAACTTTTCTTTTAAATATTAAGCTTAATTACTATTATTCCTACTCCAGCATATCATTCACCATGTCAGTGCAATGCATTTTAGCTGTAACAATTTTGATTACAATCTTTTCACTTTTCTGTATTTTCCCGCTAAGTTCAGGAACACACTTACTTGGTCTCTGTAGCTAAAAGCAGCTACAGAGACCATTCAACTATTAAAATATACAGATTTTTCTGCATTTTCAGCCAAGTTCAGCAACACATCTTCGCAGCATACAGCATTCACACGCATTTTCAGCAAGAAATGCATTTTCTAGTTAATTTTGAAGTGGAGATTTACAAGAAATATTTTAACTGCTACTGTGTAAAGGGAATACTGCTGTTAAAAAGCATCTTATTTGTTTGAAGTGTTTGCAAACCAAATGTTATTGCACTTTTGTTCATTTCACAGTACTAATCAAATAAAAGTACGCAATACTTTTGAATTAATTATTGAACATTTTAATCGTTGCCCAGCACTAGTATAACTATAATTATTGTAAGGGAATATTTCTGTCTTACTCCTAAGTGTCAAAGAATAATTCTTCCTTACTCCTAAGATATTTAACCTTATTCTGTGTCTTGACATTTACGATTCCCTGCTTCTAATCTCCCGTAAGGAATGTGCTAATGCAATCGTATGTTGATACTAGGTTTTATGGCCCGACCTGGTGGGCACAGGGGGGGGTTTTACGACTGTGAGAACGCTGGCTTTCTAAGCTCCACAGATGTGAGAGACATCTCCTGTGTCTGCAGATGTTTACGCCCATCCCCAATATTTGGATTTGACTCTCTGTAAACTAGTTAAAAAGGGCTATCGAGAGATAGGCTGGGCAGAATTGACATGACAACCCACCCGTGCAGTCAGAACCTTTTGCTGCTGTGACTTGTGATATGAATTCTCTGGCCGTTGACTTGTAATAAACATCATTGTTTGACATCAAAGCTCCAACTCTCCTCGTGTCTCTCTGAGTCCTGACTCTCCATTGCTGCAGATGTTTCCCTTACAATTACTATAGTGTTCAGAGAATCTGGACAGCCAAAAACGGTTTCTTAAGTGTTTACCATTGCAAGATACTAGAACCTGTAAAAAAACATGTGCAGACGCATCTGAAATAAATGGTAGTGTCTTGTGGGAATGTTAACAAAAAGGCCTGTGGGACAACTTGAAGAGGGTTTGCTATCATTCAGAAAGGCCAAGGCTGATATTTGTTAGGGGGGGAGCACATTTCCTCAGACGAAAGAAAAAGAGGGTATTAACCAAAAATGTAAGAGAAGAATAACCTTTGCCATAGTGAGGACGAACAGATAAGGAGACATGATAACACTGGAAGGTATAAAAGAGGGTAGCAGCTTAAAGTGTTATGACAAACAGTACAACTCCATGAGAGACATTTTTACAAACTTCAGAGTTGATAGTATGGATGCAGAGGACGTTTTTTATGTACAGTTAATTTTATTTTTTTGGGAATTTCATTTCATATTTAGAAAAACAAAGGGGCTGACTCCAAACCACTTTTTTTTTTTAAGGGTTAAAATAGTACTATATTAAAAGTATTGTGAATAAAAATAATTGTTTGCTTGACAAATATTTGATCGGAAATATGAAACTGTATTTTAATGTTATGTAATTTTTTGTTATTATTATGACTTTGTATATCTGCCCCTGATGTCGAATTTTTCGTATACGAAATAAACTTAACACAAAAAGAAAGGAGATTTGTGTTTGGTAGATTATTTCTAAGTTAAAACAATGCTTCTTGGCAATACATCTTATACCGTTGGAAAGACTGTTTTCTTACCTTTCCAATGGTATCACATTTGTGAGGAACAAGTATTTGTGGGATGAGCAGCAGAGCTAGGTATGTG